GACAGCACTACGCTATGCATTACAACAGATACTGTGAAATTCGTGTGATTTTATTTATTGAAATTCTGTAACATTTGTAATTTTTCTGTATTAATACTATTTTGTGCTCTCTGAAAGAAAGAAAGAAAGAAAGAAAGAAAGAAAGAAAGAAAGAAAGAAAGAAAGCAAGCAAGCAAGCAGTCTGGGCAGTGGAGGGCACTGAGCAGGCCTCTTCCGAGGCCCAAGAGTGCCTGTGATGCTGTCGCAAGGTGACATCTAGGCCGTGTTTAAAGAGCTGACACGGAGTGACTAAAACGAGGCCAAGGGTCACCAGTCGTGAATTAAACTTGTAGAAAGCACACTAATTCAGGGCGTGCGCAGCTCTCGTGTTCCCTGCCTCCGGCCTCTTCTGGAGCTTTTCTCCTTTGCCTTCCTACTTTCTTAGTGCCTGTTTCACTCCCTTGCAAAACATCTTTTCCAGTCATCCTTTGGCCCATTCACTCCTTGCCTCTCTTCGGCTGACACACAGGCACATGTCACACACACACACACACACACACACACACACGTGCACGCATGCGCACGCGCCCTTGGCTCCCTCTATACTCACAGCATTTCCTTTGCATCCTTATTTTTTAAATTCTTGCTCTGATTCTTTCTCCATCTAGCAATCAAAATCCAGGCTGGAAAACCGTATTATCTCTGTTAGTTCTAGCAGCCACAGAACCGCAGTCTCCCTGTCTGATCCTCATACCCACATAAGGAGTTTTTGGTGATGTATGAAATTTTACTTTGACCAGAGGAACTATTTTTATGAGTTATCTTTATGAGATTAAAAGCTGCCATATAGAAGGCCAGCCAGATAGCTCAGCAGACTAAAGCGCCTACTTAGGTAGAGCGCAAAGACCAGGGCTCGATCCCAGTGTACTGTGCCAGGCCGGCCCTGCCCCTGGGGTGCTCTGAGATGGTGATCGAGACTGCGCCTGGTGGCGCACGCCTATAATCCCAGCACTTGGGAGGTTGAAAACAGGAGAATCACTACAAGTCTGACCTACATTAAAAAAAAAAAAAAAAATCTGCCATATAATCTGCAATGATTTGAAAAGCTGCATGGTCAGAAATTTTTTTTTCTTTTCTGTATTTAGGTCAGGGTGTAGAGGGTCTACAGGGTCTCACTATGTAAATCAGACTCATAGTGATTCTCCTGTTTTCTGCCTCCCAAGTACTGGGGTTACAGGCGCAGGCCACCATGCCCAGTCTTCATTGCTGTCTCATTGCACCCCATGGGCCGGCCAGCACGGCGCTCCAGGGATCAAACCCCAGCCACTGCAAGACAATTCATTTTTTGTTTTGTTTTATTTTTTTTTAGACAGGGTCTCAGTACATAGCCCAGGTCGGCCATGAGCTTGCAGCAATCCTCCTGCCTTAGCCCCCGAGTTCTGGGACTGTATTCACAGTCAGAAAAATTTTGCCAACCTTTATTTTAAATATTCTGTCTGTTCTTCAACTGTACTTTATAATTCAAATACTAAGTGCCCAGTGTGTAAATACCACCAAAGTCTAGAAACTTTATAGTTAAAACTAGGTTGGGGAGGTTGGGGAGATAGCTCAGTGGTTGGGGAGATAGCTCAGTAGAATAAGTGCTTGCATGGCAAGCGTAGGGTCCTGAGTTCAATCCCCAGTACCACAAAAAAAAAAAAAAAAAAAAAAAAACTAGGCTAGGGAGATAGCTCAGCGGCATAAGCACCTGGCTGGAGAGCACAAGGTCTGGAGTTCAATCCCCAGTACTGCAAAAAAATAAATAAAAAATGAATACAACAACAACCAAAAAAAGAAAACTCATCCTGAAAACAGTATAAAAGAACACAGAGGGGGCCGGGGAGATGGCTCAGTGGAATAAGCGCTTCCCTGGCAAGCGCAAGGGCCTGAGCTTGATCCCCGGTTCTGAAAAACACACACACACACACACACACACACACACACACACACACACACACACACAGAAAGCATACAAAAGTAACCTGGCTTCTTGCATAATCGTTGAGTACCATGGAAGTGATGTGATAAGGCTTCCTGAGCTCAGAAAAGAAAATTTTGAAAATTCTGCAGAATTTGTCAAGAGTGTAAGAACCTCTTTTCTCCTTAATTTGTTTCCCCGTGACGCCAGCTGTTTCAGACTACAGACAGCCAGGTATTGCAAAAGCACCTACTTCCTAGAATAACGCTCCTGCAGCAGGTGCAAAAGAGACATTTTGCCCTAAGAGATGAATGAATTGTAGCCAAATATTTAAAGCAGCTTCTCACAGCTTTCCTTCATAAAAAGCATCCAGTAATCATATACCAAGCTAAGAAATCAAGCCCCTATTCACAAGATACCATCCTTAGCACATATGTTGGAATTTGTCTAATTAATTTCAGGGCCTTTCTGTGTCTTAATTTTGCATTCTGGTTGAGGTGACATTCTCTACAGAGTCACAGCGCCATAACCTGTGTCATGAGCTCATGCGAGCCCTTCAGTGCCAGTCAGAACCACTGCCAGGCATTGGGCAAGAGGAAGAACCTGGGATAGTGGGAGGGCTTCATTTTCCAAAAACAGGTTCAGCTTCTGGCTGTTACTTTATGGTGTGCCTGCAACAAGTCTGTCCTTTTTTTTTCTTTTTCTTTTTTTTTTTTTTACTTTATGTTACAGGGAGTTTCAAATGTATACAAATCCTATAATAGAAACAGTGGGCCGGGGGTATAGCTTAGTGTCACAGCACCTGCCTAGCAAGAGCAAGGTCCTAAGTTTGATTCCAAGAACCAAAAAAAATATATAAAATATAAATAAATAAATGGAAATGGTAGTTTCCGGGAGCTGGGGAGCAGGGACTGAGCCGTGACAGCTACTGGGATATGGTTTCCTCTTGACAGGATGAAAATGATATGAAACCAGATAGAAATGATAGCTCCACAACTCTGAATACAGCAAAACCCACTGACCTGTATGCTTTAGAGGGGCGAATATTGTGAAGCTCAGGTTTATCACTTTGTTAACATTAATTTTTTAAAGTCTTTTTTTTTTTGGTTTAGGGTCTTACTACACAGCTCAGACTCATAGTGATCCTCCTGTTTTCAGCCTCCCCAGGGCTGGGGTTACAGGCATGTGCCACCACGTCTAGTCGCAGTGACCAGCACGGTACGCTCAGGGTTCCTGGGCCGGCACGGCATGCGGTATTAGGGATTGAACCTGGGTCCTTGCGCTTGCCAGTCAGGTGCTTAGAATCCCGCACTATCTCCCCAGCCCTAGATTATCTCTTATTAAAGCCTGTTTCTTTCATTAAAAATGTCTATAGCACAGTGAATTCTAACTCATCCTCACCAACCCAGAAGACATGGAGTTAGAGTGAGGGAACAGATGCTAAGGAGCTCATGCAAGAAAGCTGTCCAGAGTCACCAGGGCAGCATGGAAACCATCTGACAACTTCCACTACAACTGCCTTACAACTAACACCAGTGACACACCCTGCAGAAGTGCCCTTTGAACAAGTCCATCCGTAGCCTGTGTTACAGTGAAGCACACTGAAAAAATGTAAGTGCCATTGCTCCTCTATGTTGCCTAGGCCATGTATCTTATATGTGGACCAAGATAGTTTCTCTCCACTCAGCTCACCCCAGGCAACCCCTCCTGGGCTGAGGGTTGGCTGAGCAGGCTGCTAAGCTATCATTTATCCCCCAGGGCTTTACGCCTGTGCTCCTCTATGAATCTCCTTGTTTTCCTTCAGCAGAACTTGCTACTTCTCAACCTCCCATCCCCTTTGTTCTTGCCATGTATGTTCATAGGTGCTATGCACACAGCAAGTTCTGCCTTTACTCCCCTTGGTCTTTTTTCATATACCTGCACGAAGCCCTCCCTAAATACCTCTTGCTCTTCTTCCCTCTCTCTCCTTCCTCTGGATCTCCACTTTGAATTGGTTGCCAAATGTGTTTGTGAATGAGCTTGTCTGCTCATTCTGTGGGGTCACTGTCCCCTTCCTCTTGCCTGCTGCCATCACTGATTTTGAAGGATAGAGCCGTAGAGAAACCCTTGAGATTGATTTCAAACTAGGATAGAGTTTTAAAACCTACACTGTCTTGGTCAGAAATCAGTTGTTTGAATTGATCAGTATACCCCCGTGCTCTAGCATGGGGACTAAAACACAGGCAACAGCAGAAGACCAGACTGTGGTGACAACAAAGGAGCCGTGAAAGGGGCCAGAACTGGAGCAGGCTGGGAAGAGAAGCTGGTTACCACTTCGTTTAAGTGGACTGGAAGCGTGATCACGCTTCCCTGCAGCATCTGCCACAGGGTAGGGCCTCTCTAGACAGTGCAGTTGGATTTGGGGAAGGTAAAGAGACCCGGCAAGGCCCTAGGGACCGCTTGCACCAGCTTGGTGGTTTCCAGTGCAGGCGATGGCTTGTGCGATTTCAGAGATAACACAGATGCCACACTGAATGCGGTGCTGCTGCAGATCAGAAAACATCCACTGAGTATTGTGAGCTAGAACCAGGGGTGAGTACAGGGCTCAGAGCATGGGGGGCGCACCTCTTGACTCGTTTCTTCCTGGCTGTCATCAGGCAGGTGGTAGGGAGCAGAGAGAAAGACTTGCTGGGCGCCAACAGCAGTTTGGCCAAGGGGCCTCTCCTAAGGAAAATGAGGCTGGTCTGCTGCACGGAACCGTTCCACAGTATTCAAAGGCAAGAATGATGTCTGTTCCTGCCCCAGGTCCTTCAGAGTAGGAACTTCACCACATAAAGCAGAAGTCTTTTTTTTTTCCTTCTTCTTTTGTGGTTTCACACAGCAAAGGAGTGACAATCTCTACTTGTAGACAAAGTGAGACGTCAGGCAGCGAGGCGTGCGCGTGGCCTGCATTTCTGGTTCCCCCTCCGTCAGCTCTCTCATTCTCCTCTTATCGCGCTTTCCAGAAAGTCTGCCTGCTGAAGAATCCTCTTGACAGTTTCCCATGTGTCGCCTGATAGCTCCCTAGGATTCGGCTTCTGAGAACCAGTGGGAAGCAGGCGGTGTCACCGCATAGTCCGCCTGGGAAGCTAGGGATACTGGCTGCGGTGCTCCGCTCCGAGGAGCTTTGGCACACTGCAGGCATGAGGGGAACCGGCATCAGGGATGGTGTCCCCAAGGTGAGTGGCGGGGCTGCGTGCCAGGGCAGGGTGTGGGGAGGTGGCTGTGACCAGAGTTGGTGCTGAGCTTCTAATGAGGGCATAAGATAAATACTGACAACATGCAGCTTTGACACAGGACGCTGGATGTGTGTGCAAGGGTGGGAAATCCAGGCGAGCTGCTGAGGTGGGTGCAAGCAGCCACTTGGTAGATGGCAGCTGATGTGGAGGACACTAGCGTCCGCCCCTGTATGTCCACTCACTCTGTTCTCTGCACCCTGAAGAAACCAGGGTGGCTCTGTGGTCCTGGCTCTTCCTGAACTCGCTTCCCAGAGAACAGCCCAGATCAGCTTCTGCCTCTGGCTGAATCCACTGCGGCCCCCCCGGTGCTGTCCGCCTGTGACTGGGGTGCCAGGTGGCCCGCACTGGAGCTTCCATGCCAACTGCAGGTCTGTGTCAGGAATCAAAAGACAGTCCCTGCTTAGGAGCTCAGGTGGCTACCAAATCCTTCACTCAGTCTCCAGGAAAGTGGAACATGGGTTGATTCTTTTCTTTTTAATTTCTGTTATATTCTTTTAAATTTTTAAGTAGAACAGAAAAGAAAGAAAGAAAGAAAGAAAGAAAGAAAGAAAGAAAGAAAGAAAGAAAGAAAGAAAGGCAACAACTGCTAAGGGAGGAGCCTGTTAACAGGGATAATGAAATATTTATTGCAATAATAGTAAATTCCAGCAGTGGAGTGTATGTCTGGGTAACCCATGACATCTTCTCATGTAGATTTTTTTTTTTTTAATGTCTTTGGTATCAGGTCTACAGGGACCCACTACACAAATTGGGCTCATAGTGATTCTCCTGTTTTCAGCCTCCCAAGTGCTGGGATTACAGGTGCGCCATCACTCCCAATCTTAATCGCTGTCTCAGCGTGCCCCAGGGGCGGAGCCTGCACAGCATGCCAGGAATCGAACCCTGGCGGCTATGCTGTCACATAGACTATGTGTCAATACTTAGCTACCTTAGAACTTTGTCCTCACTATGTACTGCAAAATTTTTCAAAGCACTGGAATTAATGGAGGGAGGGTGAGTAACTAAGCAAACCCCCAAATTAGGCTGCGTGAATCAATCCATTCCTGACACTCTGTCGTATGTATGCACATCTATTGTTATATATTCAAACATGAGCGGTGGCTGCGTTGTCATTGTGGGTAAACCATTTGAAAAGAAATGACATAAATGATTGTTTCCCCCTCACACTTGATCATGTATTTCCTATGACAGCTACCTCCAGCACCACACACCTTCATCACACCCGGGAAGACTTCGCGTTGATCTCATCACACCACCCTAATATTCAGTCGACATTCAGATTTTCCCAAAATACCCTTTTCCTCTGCCCTGTGGAGTTGCACATGTTGTTTTTTACCAGGTCTCAGCTGTCCTTACTCTAGATTATCCCACTACTTTTTTGTTTTATAGCATTGACTTTTTTTTAAGTAGCCTACAATCTTTTTAGGATTGAAATTCCCTTTTCTTCTGTGCCACTTATTCTACCTAGATTATTTCTACAGCACCTGGCAGTGCATATGTAGACGGCATGCCTTGGGCACACAGCGCGAATGACAGCCTCAGCTTCTCTGTGTGGGCTTGTTCTCCAGGTGAGAGAGATGATAAGGATTAATCCTTAGTGAGCACCGCACCCCAGCTCTGGCCGGTGTCCCCCACAGTCTCACCTCCTCACAGCCTCCCCCTGTGTTACAGATGAGGAAACAGCTGGGATCTCAGCGTGCACCACCCCACCCGACCTATAAAATAATCATTCTTTTTATTTGTCTTTTTGAGGCAGTACAGGCTGGCCTTGAGCTCACTCTGTAGCCCAGGCTGGTCTCAAACTGAAAACGGTTCTCCTACCTCAGCCTCCGGAGTGCTGGGATCACAGGCATATGCCACCATGCCCGGCTTATAAAAGTCACTCTTAGCTCCCAGATCAGTTGTCTGGATTTGGCCCCTGGACCCCAGTGTGCCACCCATGTCATCTCTGCTCACACAAGCTGCCCCATCCCAGTAGCTCTGCACCAGAAAGGGGACCCAGCCCCCAATTCCTCCTAGGACAGAGGCAGCATCAGCTCCTGGGTTCCTTGCATATCCGTCCCTGTTAATGCACATACAAGATAATAGCCTCTTTCCTCACTTTCTGGAAACCATCTAGTAGCAGTGAGTACACAGCTCTCGGTTCCTGCCTCTTACAATGATACACATCAGAGTTCAGAATCTGGAAGCACTAATGTGAATGCCTAGGAAGCCATTCACTTGCTTTTTAAATGCTAATGACTGCCTCCAGAGCCCCACCCTCAGCCTGGGGGCCTTTGGTTTGCAAGTGCTGGTTGTGTTCCTAGCCACCCTGCAGCCTGTGGTGTTGGCCCCGGAGGTAAGCAACAGCTGCTCCCAAAGCTGTTTGCGGATGCTGCCAGCTAAGCAACAGTTCCTTCAGCAGAGCCTTCCGCTTAGCACACGGCAGATTTTGTGTGTCTACCAGACCGCTTGATTATGCTCGCCTTGGCTGCTTTACAAGAGCACCTAAAAATAAACATGATACTGCAAAGGCGACCTCAAGTACTGCAGTTGTAACAAAGACAGGAATCCTCATGCCTGACAGCACGGTGAATCTGATGTCTCCTTCGCTGGCTTGCTGAACTCCAGCAGGCTGGCTTCTCCTTCACCTCCACTCAAAACATGCTAGAAAATTAGTTCTAAAAGACCAGTTAAATAAGTGATTTTTTTTTTTTTTTTTTTAACCAGGAATGGAACTCAGGATCTCATTCTTGCCAGTCAGGTGCTTGTGCCTTTGAGCTACATCCCCAGCCCCAAATGAATGATTTTTTTTTTTTTTTATTGTGGAGGGGTCCTTACTTTGAATTTAAAAAGGCTTCTTTCTGAAAATATAGTCTGCATGTATCTCAGTGATTCAGCTCCATTTGTTGCAAGTTGAGTCGTTCCCTTTTGAGTGTCACTGTGTGCCTTTGCAGCCGTGTGTGTTGCATGCGCTTAGAAATGACTTGAAGTTAGTGACTTTGCATGCAGCGCCCGCCCCCACACCACCTGGCGTTTTCTCTGCATGTCTAGGACCAGGCCTAGGATTACTGAGTCAAACACTAGCACTTGTTTTCTGCTGCTTTCTGCGAATTTCCAAAAGTTGATTCGACTTTAAACCTAGTTTTTACAGTATTTTTTTCTCTAGCCCATACTTGGTCTCTTTTACAACGACAGCTGGCCAGGCATCAGGGTGCACACCTGCATCTTCAGCACTCCAGGAGGCTGAGGCAGGAGGATCAGAGTTTGAGCCCAGCCTGAGCAACTAGGCAACTTTGTGAGACGCTGTGTCCAAATGAAAAAAAAAGGCCCCAGGTTTGATCCATAGTGCCGCCAGTAAACAAGACAGTTATGTGCTCACTGGTTTCTGCAGGGCATTCGCAAAGGAGTCCTTCTAGTGTGCTAGTGACTGGTGGATTGTCCAATATTCACTTTTCCGGAACATTTAAATGGTGATATTTGAGAGGTCGGGTAGATAGCTCAGTAGAATACGCGCTTGCGTAGCAAGCACAAGAGCCTCAGTTCAATCCCTGGGTCAGCAAAAAAAAAAAAGAAAAAAGAAAAGAAAGAAAGAAAAACACATAAATGGTGATATTTGAGGTTCAGCTTCAGTATCTATCTCACACTGAGTGGAATGGTTTAGACCACGAGGGGAAGAGCCAGGAAAAGACGGAATCTTTCAAAACCACCCGCATTCCGGGGATGCCTTAGCCCGGACAGTGTGCGTCAGCGGCGTGACTTGCGTCGTGCGTGGGTTAGGACCACGCGGTGCTCCGCTGTGTACCCGGGGAGCCGTTCAGGCTCGGCTTGCTGCATTGAGGTCCCAAGGTGGACAGCAGGACATCGGGCACTCAGGCTTCACGGGGTAGGCGAGGGGGCTGTGTGCGGAAGCTGCCTGTCCAGGAGGCGCCCGCGCCTGCTCTCCCAGCCTCTCCCTCCTTTCCCTGGCCACGCTGCTGCGCTGCCTCCAGCAGCAGGCTCTTCACCCAGAGGCCTTCCGGGACCCCCAGCCTCCACCTCGCCTTCTTCCTGGTCGCGCTGGTTCCCGAGCACTGTCTGCCTTGGCGTCCGGAGGCGGCTCCCAGCGCTGCGCAGTCTCAGCCTCCTGCCGGTAGATGCCGGGTGCCTGCCCCGTGGCCGTGTGCAGCTGAGGCCTTTCGACACCTACACCGCCAGATTCGCCAACAGCAGCGACACTTCCTTGTTGTCAGGTGTCTGGGAACGGAGCTTGACCTCGACTCTCAGCTCACTGACTCCTCCCTTGCCCCCCGCACTGACCACTCAGCCCTGATTCTGGAGAACTGGGCTCCTCCTTCCATGGTCAGATGTTGCTTTAGATTAGAACCACTGCGATTCAAGCCAAGGTTACAGACGTGGCCTCTCTCTGACCTTCCAGCAGCTTCGCCGTTCCACAGGGCAGAGCAGCTCAAATGCAAGACCCAGCGTGGAAATGCAGCCCACCACCAACTCTGCCACCTTCTGTGCCACACGGTTACGGGGTGGTGAGTGACCACAGACATAGGGACAAAGCGGGCCTTCAGCAGGGTCAGAAGGAGGAGGGGACACAAATACAGGGCTTCAGGGGACGGGGCGAGGCTATCTGCAGTAAAGGAAATAAAACAGAGTGGTGAGATAGAGGCAGTGGACCTGAAGGACGGCTCTGGAGACACAGGGACAGGGAGGAGCGTTTGGGCAGAGGAAGCAGCAGGTGCAAAGGCCCTGTGGTAGGAATAAGCTCAGCGCAGTAGAGCAGCCCCAGAAGGCCTGCAGTGGGCATAAAGTCAAGAGCGGCAGGAAATGAGAACGGAGCAGAAGCACAGGACAGGGCTCGCTGTGTCAGAACACCAAAGTGCATGCTAATTGCAAAGGAAGCCACCGCCTGCGCAATGCAGGCAATGACAGGGTCTCTTCTATTTTCGAAGATCACTCGGGTTGCTATG